ATTTGGAATGAAAACAATACACATCAGTCAGAAAAAAAACAACCAAAAAATATAATCTCTGTAACTTTCAGCTGTAGATCTAAATCTATATAGATGACAGAAAAATGTAAAAGACCTCTGATGCTGGCACATGAGTAAAATCAGGGAAACCTGTCAAACATGAAACATCAGCAGACATGATAACAAAAACTTTTGATTTGATTGAAAAATTGAACATGCTCAAGGAACAAAATCCCAACCCATGACCAAGATCTTCTAACAAGGGAAATAACCAACTTGTAACTTAAATGGGACTTATTACGGTGATCACTTCCCTTTTGTCACATGGCGAGGCGTAAATTGATTGTTTTGTGAAATAAAATGGAAAAAAACGTGAAAAAACGCGGGGAATCCAAAATTATGCAAATGTTTCAGAGTTACGCGGCCGCACAATCGCATAATCCTACGGTGAAAGCTATAAACATACAGCAGATCAGATGATTTACCTCAGCCGACATTGACGAACTGGAATCAAAGTAGATGCCAAGATTCTTAACTTTTCTTGAAAATGCAATTTCCACATCACCAGTTGTCATGTGATCGTGGTCAACTGCTTTGACAGACATTGCATTGCCTACCAGAATGACTTCTGTTTTTATCATCATTCGACATCAATTTGTTTTTGTTCATCCAGTTTTTCATTGAGGCAATTTTCAGCCTTTTTTCCCCTCAAACTGAAATCTGATCTACGTTATTGCTTTCTCTTTCCTCAGGGCTTTGAATGGTTCGACCCATTTGTGCCAATTTTGGTGCCAGAATATTCAAGTACAGAAGCTCTCAGCTGTTTGAGTTACTACATTGACAGGAACTGGATTCAGAATGAGCATGGTGAGTGCACACAGGGCTGTATTTTGAAAATGTGATTAGAGTTTGAGATAAATGAAAAAAATGTTTTAATTAAACCCCATCGTGAGGTTAGCGCGACTATTGTTGCACTGCTGCGACTGTCCCTCAGTGGTTATGGCGACTATACTGGCGATCACGAACACGGGTTCTTCAGATTCGATATTGTGTATGGAACCATCGGAAATGGTTTAAACTAAGTTAAACTCTTTTCAAGGAAGATTTTTTCCTAGCATTTTCTGCCCCAAACAAGAATCTAGACCCAGAATTGGAATAGAAAACGAACAGTCTAGGAATTTGTTTACACTGTTTACATCAGTCACTAAAGCAATAATTGAATCTGAAATGGCTGCAAATATCATGACTGTTTGAAATCTGTTCAACACATTTTATCAGGATGGTAATAATTCGAGAGGAAACAGTTTCAATGCAAAAAGTGTGAGGTAGCCCTCTGTGTCCCTGGCTGCTTTGAACTGTATCACTCACACTCGGACAAATTTGACACCACAATGTCAGGACTAACACACTGGCAAAGACACTCTGACGAGCAAAAAAATTAAATTTCCAGTTCAGTGATGTTTAGTTATATTTCTATCTTAAAAGATAAGGAAGTTATAAGCATTTTTCTTAACCCACCCTAATTTTCTTGAAGTTCTCAAATTAATTCGCCTCTCGGGGACTGGACAGTGCAAATTAATTCGCCTCTCGAAGGATTAAATTCCATAGAGAAACTGCTTCATCTTAAGCATCTTATGTCAAACATGACTGGTTCAAAGTTTCTGTTTTTACTACACGATGTTATATTTATAAATTGGTGCCGATGGGTAATTTTTGTGAGAGGCAAGGAGACATTATATACAGGGGATTCCGCTTAAACCGAGCACAGTTAATCCAAAAGCAGTCATAAACAGAAAGAAAAGAAAATCCCCGATTTGTTTTACGACATCAAAGATAGTAAATAACAAGATGGGCCACTCAGCCAAAAAATTGTCCGCAGGAAGCATGCTCTTTGCTTCAGATG